ATTAATTATTTTATTAATTAATAACTATAATTGTAAATATTTTTTTGGTATGTGGATGAATTATGCAGACAAATAATTTTCTCAATCTCAAATTTCTTTATATGAGACTTGAAATTAAAATTTTTAATATGAAAATTTAAATTTTTAATTACTAAAATAACTCTTAAAAGATGTTTTAAATTATTTTTAAAAATGAAAAAAATTGTGAAAAATTAATAGATGTTAGTAATTAAAATGTCACTATTTTTATGAAAAAATTTCAATATTTTCAATAAACTAATATATAAAAAATTATTAAATATATTTAAATAATTTATAAGTTATTCTAACATTTTAAACATAAAAATATTTTAATTTTTACTTTTTTAAAAAAATGTTTTACATAATTAAAAAAAATTATATGACAATAATTATGCCCAACTATAATTAATCGAAATCCAAAATTGCGATGCCGATGATATACTGATACCTTCGTAGCCGACGAGACATCCATCGATAAAGTTCTGCTACTAACGCGCAATTTTGTCCCCACCCCCACCCCCACCATCCCATCCACCACATGTCATGTCAACCTGTCATGTCATGTATGCGACACGGACCATGTCATGCCTGCATATATACCCCTGACATGGCAGTCTTGTGATTATCAAGTTACTTTTTTTTTATCTCAAAATTTCCTAAAAACACACAGTAAAAAAAACAGAAGTAAAGCTTTCCAGTTTCTCACTGAATTCTTGCTTTTTTATTTTATTTTATTTTTTTTTGGGGGCGGATATTAAATATTATCAGCTTTAAAATCGAGACGCATGCAGCAAAACCTCATCATGGTGTCCTGTCTGTCCCACGCAGACTCTCCCCCCATGCCTTCTGTAATTTTTAAGCTTCTCCTTTCCCCGGGTTGACTGCCCCCCAGCTCCTCCCTTCTTCTTTCCTTTCTTTTTACGCTTTTGCCACTTTTCTTTTTAATGCTTCTTTTCGCTTTACGAAATTTTACTTGACTAAAATGCCCCCAACCGAAATTACTTTTATGGCAAATCCTGCTCAAAAGTTTGTGGTAGCAAATCAGTTATTTGGATTCAATAATTTATACTCAAATCTTAGGATTTAGGTAGAATTAATAAAAAATTTGAATATTATTAATTACTTAAATATTCACATTATGTCTATTAGTCATAGGCACTTGGCACTTCTCCCTGCTTATAAGTTGGGCCTATTCTCTTCCTCTATAATTACCTTTGTTTAAAAAAAATAAATTTGTGGTATCTAATTAATCCGTTGGTACTTCCCTCAACTTATGGGTTGGATTCATCATCTTCTTTTTTTAATTATCTTTGTTCAAAAAAAAAAGTTTATGGTATCTAATTAATTTTGTTTCAATTACGATTATAGTATTTTTGAATTAGTTTAATTACTTTTTGAATCATTTTAAAGGTATATTTTTTAAATTAATTTAGTGTATTTAAAAATAATTTATATTAATTTTTAAAACTTAAATGAGTTTGCTAACTTTAATACTAAATAATATAATATCCCTAAATAATGCTCCTTAGATTATTGGAGCTAAAGTAAAGTACCACTTATCTAAAAGCCTAGATGCATTAAATTGCAAAAGTTATTTTTAATTTACAAAATCAAATTGTATCATAAACTACCTAAAATAAATAAAACTAAGTATTGTGTACCTAATTTATAATTATGCAATGATAGTGTTGCCATATCCATTTTATAAAACCAAAATTATTCATCTCAAATCTCAATAAAGTGACTTAATGATTAAAAATTTAAAATTTTAACCTAAAAATATTAAATTTAAACCTTAAACTGAGTATAAATGAATTTGAGAATTGGGATGAATTATTAGTTGGTATATAACTCATAATTAGTTATAAAAAAAAAAACATTATTCAGCTCAAAAAGGGTTCAATGGTAAGTCAGTCATTTCGACAGAAGAACCGGTTTGAAAGAAACAATAAAAAATTCGTACCACCATTTCACTGCACAGTGAAGTGGAAGACTCCCCCACACTCCGAATTCCGAAAGTCGAAAGTGACGAGCCAATGAAAACCATACAGGGAGGCACATTCAACCAATCCAAAAAACTAAAAAGCCAAAAATTCAATTGAATTTTTTCAAAACCAAAAATCCAAAAATCTCAAAGCAGCGGTACTTCTTTCCTGTATCACCACCACCAACTAGGTCTTCCATGTTTTGTTCGCCAATTGTTTTCAGTTGTCCCCCTTGGTAAAACCCATTTTCTTGATCTTTCCAAATTTCAGAAAACCAGGGTAATCCATGGTGAAACAGAAAGGTTTGATCCGGGATTAGAATCCCAGAGGAGGGAAAAAAGAAGATGTTTTGGAGATTATTAGGAACGGTTTGTCCTCATGGGTGTATGAGAAGTATTGGTGGGTTGGCAGTGTTTCGTTTAGGTCGGTTATTCTGTATAAGTTAGAAGATCTTCTAGAATTGTTTTTGTCCGAAGAGAAGAGTCTGCTTTGCTGGGAAGCATGTCTTTTGACTCCAGCATGGCTGGTAGGAATCAGTGAGTTGGTAACAGGGTGGAAGGAGAAACATCTCCGTGTGAATCACGAGAAACGATTTGTTATGGTGGATTGTATTCTTTGTTTTTTGGTTGTTCCACGGAAACAGTTCTTTTGAAAACATCTTGGTGAATCAGATCCGCTTGGTTTTAGAGTAGAAACTCTGATCTCGAAAGATTTATGGTTTCTTGTGTTTGGGGCTGCTTCAGCGTGACAGGAAGCTAAGGATAACTCCCTCCTAATCAAGATATTGTTGTCCCTTGTCGGGCTTCTTTCCCTTATCCTTTACATTCCTCAATCAGAACTGAATAACAAGATTTCGAGAAAGTTCTATGATTCAGGCACAAATGGGGAAGATATAGAGAAAAAGAACATTTTTTGCAGCTCGTCCTGTCCAAGCTACAGGTGAGTCGAATTTGTGATCAAGGAAAGAAAGGAAGCCCGTTGACCTTTCGGGTATACTATAAATAACCTAGTTTGTTTTAATTTAGAAGGCTTTCTTGAGTTCTTCCGCTTTGTGTGCTTTGCTGCTTTATCAAGTTATTGAATTTGTGATCTAAGTGACGGTAGTAAGGTTTGGTCTTGGTGTTTTCTTTCAGTATGACTTAAAGCTACAAAGATTGGTGATATTGTTGGAGACAAGATACTTGGGTGTTGGTGTTAGTGTTGTTTTTGTTGGCATTTGCAAATCTTGAGTAGGGAATTAACGATGGCGATGTCCTGCAAGGATGGTAAACCAGGGAGCTTAGACAATGGAAAGTATGTAAGGTATACACCGGAGCAGGTTGAGGCTCTTGAGAGGCTCTATCATGACTGCCCCAAGCCCAGTTCAATTCGCCGCCAACAGTTGATTAGGGAGTGCCCCATCCTCTCCAACATCGAGCCTAAACAGATCAAAGTTTGGTTCCAAAACAGAAGGTACGTTTTTGTTTCCAAGATTTCAATGCACCCTTTTGCGTTTAATGCATAAATGTGGGTTTTTTTTTTTTCTTTTTCTTTTTCTTTTTTGGAGTTCAGTTTTTGGTTATTCTACTCTAAGTGTTGGATTTTAGGATTTGCCTTATCTCTGTTTAGAAAATAATGACACTTGTCTTCATCTAAAAACATGTCTGATATTCAGACTGTGTTCTTGTATTTCTCCATAGAACAATTTTAATTTTGTGTAATATATGATTTTTTTTTTTTTTTTTTGTTTCTTCAGATGTAGGGAGAAACAGAGGAAGGAAGCATCACGTCTTCAGGCTGTGAATAGAAAGCTGACGGCTATGAACAAGCTGTTAATGGAAGAGAATGATAGGTTGCAGAAGCAGGTGTCACAACTAGTGTATGAAAATGGCTACTTTCGCCAACACACCCAGAATGTAAGTTTAATTTATAATCTTTCTTATATCATTTGCTTGATTGCATGGAAAGTAGAAGAAAATGAAAGAAAATTCAGAAATTTGTAGTTGCTAATCCAACATTGGATTCCGAAAATTGCTTTTTCTTTTTTTATTCATGTTATAATTTATTTTAATACTTGGGTTGTTTTTTAACAGGCAACGCTTGCAACCAAAGATGCAAGCTGTGAATCGGTGGTTACGAGCGGTCAACACCACCTGACACCTCAGCATCCTCCGAGGGATGGTAGTCCTGCAGGGTTAGTGGGAATATGGTTGTTGGGTCCTTTTCTGTCATTGTGCTTTGTGGGTATACTTTGTTTTATGTGCCTGCTCATTTATTAATTTGTGTTTGTATTCTTTCCAGACTTTTGTCCATTGCTGAAGAGACTTTAGCAGAGTTTCTTTCAAAGGCCACTGGAACCGCTGTGGAGTGGGTCCAAATGCCTGGAATGAAGGTATGTATGTTGGTTGAACCTTTCTTTTTCCATTTTTTTGGCAACAATATTATCTTTTGTACAGACAATTATTGTTGGATAAATAAGAGTCATATTTTATCCAAAATATATTATTTTTTATTATTTTTTATTTTTGGTTACATAATAGAAGCAACCTCTCTTATCCCTTAATCTTACCTCACCAATGGGATATCTTATTTTCTCTTTTTTTCTCAATAAGTAAATTACAACTGAATTATTTAAATTATTGATATATTTTTTATTTATTTTATGCCTTAAAGACACAGGATAAGAAGTCATTATTAGACAATAACTATGATTTTTTTCTTAGAAAAAATAAAATTTTATATTAAAAAAATAACTTTTGATTTTTAATTTAAAATTAACCGATAAAAATCTAACACATGATATTTACAATTGAAATAAAAAGTTAACATTATCATTTTGAAGATAAAAAGTGACAATTATTACATAATTAATGCTCTTTATCCTCCTGTGCCCGTATGACACAAGGTTGATAAACTCATATAATACTATATGAACAACACTCCTCATCTATCATAGGAAACTTCAAAATGGAAGACAAGGAATTCAATTTATTTATGAAGTATAAAGAATAAAGGGCATTACACGCATTAGATAACTAACTGCCTTTAACTCTCATGACTTTCCTATTAATGGTTTGCTATAAGTAAATTAAAATCTAATTTGTTTCTTTCATTTTTCAGTTAAAAGATTTACTAATGTTTGTTCTTTTTCCTTTTTGATGTTCTTCATTCCATAAGTTTTTGATCTCCTCTTTCTTATCTTTTTTTTTTTTTTATTGGAACAGCCTGGTCCGGATTCCATTGGAATCGTTGCTATTTCTCATGGTTGCACTGGCGTGGCAGCACGTGCCTGTGGCCTTGTGGGTCTAGAGCCTACAAGGGTAAGTGTACTGTTTTCATTCCTTATACAGCATCCTTCTCTTGTGTTTGAACCTTTTGTTGTTCAATGGTTTATGTTCCTTCCAGGTTGCAGAAATCCTCAAGGATCGCCCTTCGTGGTTTCGCGATTGCCGAGCTGTGGATGTTCTAAATGTGTTGCCTACTGCTAATGGTGGAACCATTGAGCTGCTATACATGCAGGTAGTACTTATTAATTATTATCATTATATGTACATGTCTGTTCAAGCATTCTAGTATGTTAATGTTTAATGACTTTGCTTTCATGATGATAAAGCTTTATGCGCCAACAACATTGGCGCCTGGTCGTGACTTCTGGTTGTTGCGCTACACTTCAGTTCTGGAAGATGGCAGTCTTGTGGTATGTTCTTTCACAAGTAACATGATCCGTGATTCATTATGTGATGGAACACACTGATGCATCTATTTTTTCCCTAATGTTTGTAAAACCTCTAAAGTAATGATTTTTGGGAATATTGATACTTAGGTTTGTGAGAGGTCACTTAAAAATACTCAGAATGGCCCTACCATGCCATCAGTGCAGCATTTTGTGAGAGCAGAAATGTTGCCAAGTGGATATTTAATACGACCTTGTGAAGGAGGTGGTTCAATAATACACATTGTTGATCATATGGATTTAGAGGTTGGTGTGCCTTCCATTTTTGGATTTGTTTCTGTTTAATACTATTTGTTATGTAAAAAAAATAACAAGTCATTTAACATTTTTGCCATAAACAGCCATGGAGTGTACCTGAAGTGTTGCGCCCACTGTACGAATCATCAACTGTCCTTGCTCAGAAGACAACGATGGCGGTAAGATGGTATTTTTTTTCAGTGTAGCATAAATTGAAACTCTTTGTTCTTATTGTTCACAAACCTGTAGAGCTCTGGTGAAACTTGTGAACGCAATCCTGTTGCAACTATTGATTTGAAAGGGATGTATATATTATTCTCTCCTTTCAGGCTCTACGCCAATTAAGGCAGATAGCGCAGGAGGTCTCTCAGTCTAATGTTCCGGCCTGGGGGAGACGACCAGCAGCTCTTCGAGCACTTAGCCAGAGGTTGAGCAGGTTGATATCTGTAATTGCTTCACATGATTTATTCTTAGCATGTTAACCCTCGAGAATCTGATATATGATTTCTGGTAGGGGATTCAATGAGGCTGTCAATGGGTTTACTGATGAGGGGTGGTCAACGATGGGAAATGATGGCATGGATGATGTTACTATCCTTGTGAATTCATCTCCTGATAAGCTAATGAGCTTGAATCTTTCTTTTGGCAATGGTTTTCCATCTGTCAGCAATGCAGTTTTATCTGCCAAGGCATCAATGCTTTTACAGGTCAGGATACTCATCTTGCCAGTTGTGAAACCATGGGGAAGTACATGATATAACTCTGTTTCCTGTAAATTGTTTCTATTTCCCTATTTCTTTCTTCCTTTTCTTCACTATCTTGCACTTGCAGTTTGGTAGGATAGGCATGATAAAATAGAAGACACTGCGAGTAAGATAATACTAACTATATTATCTCTTAATTCTAACAAAAAATGTCTTAATTCTCGCGCATGGTACTTTATTTTGACACAAGAAGATGCTTACTACATGGAAGAGACATAATAGAATTGTTTTGAAATGTACAGACTAACACTAATTCAACCTTTTTCATACCAGAAATTCAAAATATGCTCTGTATTTTTCTTGTTGCTCTGGCCTTTTAGCATTTGCTTCCTTGGGCCCCCTTCCCAATCCCACTTTTCTCCTGTCTTTTTCTCTGCCTCTTTCAAAGCAGCTTAGAAACTTTTCAACATGATGGCCTTCATCGTCTTCAACTTTGGGTCTTCTTGCCCCCTTTTATTAGACCATTGCACAAACCAATTTGCTTTTGAAATTTCCCATAATAACTGATTACCAAGGACTCAGTACGTGTGATGGCAAAAAAAAAAAAAAAAGGATTCAGTATGTAACCTGCACAACGGAATTAAGCACTCCTATCACTCTATGACTTGGCAGTGGTCAGTCGTTTACTTAGGTGGGAATTATTGAATATATATTATTATATGAGCAGAAACACTATGTGTATCACTTGATAAGTTGCGTATTATCTGAATTGCAATGGACAAAATCATAGATAGAAGAAAATGGAAATCCTTTTGTCTTTATCTTCTGTTGTAAGTCATAACTTGCTAACAAACTTACTTCTTTTTCTCCTGTTGTCCACTGTTTCTCTTTCAGAATGTGCCTCCAGCCATTCTTCTTCGGTTTTTGCGTGAGCACAGATCTGAATGGGCTGATAATAGCATTGATGCTTACTCAGCAGCAGCAATTAAAGTTGGCCCCTGTAGCTTACCAGGGTCTCGAGTGGGAGGTTTTGGTGGTCAAGTAATACTTCCCCTGGCTCACACTATTGAGCATGAAGAGGTAAGCATTTTTTACAGCTATCGAAAATGTTTTACCTTATAAAAACTTGGCTCTTAGTTTTTAGTTCTTGATAGTTTTAATCTTATAAAAACATGAAGAAGTGATAAATATTTCTTTGTTTTTCCTAGTTCTTAGAGGTCATTAAGTTGGAAGGAGTTGGGCACTCACCTGAAGACACAATGATGCCTAGAGACATATATCTCTTGCAAGTAAGTCTTTTTACTCATTTTGTGATGTATTATTTTGTCCTTCCTGATTTATCTGTCAAAACATATGTAGTGGATGATTTTTAGCTTTAGGTCTCTTTCCTTTTGAGTTATGATGAGAGTCGTTTAACACAGTGATACGCCATTCCAATTGTGAAAATGATTTTCTAATTAATCTACTTCATGTACAAGTTGATATTCCTTAATTGGAATGTTTTCGTTTGGAATAACAGTAAATGGGTTCTTTCCCTTTCTTTTCTCCTTTCTGCTCTTTTAAATTTCTTTTAGAGCAGCTGGATATTTTGTCTGGAATTTTTCTGAATTGGTGTCTGGCAAACTGGTAATGGAATTTGATAGGTAGAAGTTATTTTAGATGTCATAATGCATAATGGCTGTGCCAAAGACTTATACGAAAAAGTAAAGACACTTGAGTTAAATTGAATTATGATTATGATCTTTTGGCAGATAAGAACTATGAAGTTGAGATTATTATTCTTGTATAGGGAATCACTTGGCTGTTCATAGGTATTTCTCCTAGTTTTCTGGATTTTCTTGCTTAATTTGTTTCTTCATATTGCTTTATAGCTATGCAGTGGGATGGATGAGAATGCTGTGGGCACCTGTGCTGAACTTATATTTGCTCCTATTGATGCATCCTTAGCTGATGATGCACCACTTCTGCCTTCTGGTTTTCGTATCATTCCTCTTGATTCTGGGAAGGTTGCCATATATATTTTTTTTATCTGGTGCTTGGTCTTTCTTTTTTTTTTTCGACTCACTCATTATAGTTTCTTCTTATGTTCTATAAAATGACACAGGAGGCCTCCAGTCCAAATCGCACCCTGGACCTTGCTTCTGCTCTTGAGATTGGGCCAGCGGGAAATAAAGCATCTAATGATTACCCTTCTAATTCTGGCTGTATGAGGTCTGTGATGACTATAGCATTTGAATTTGCATTTGAGAGCCATATGCAGGAACATGTGGCATCAATGGCTCGGCAATATGTCCGCAGCATTATATCATCTGTTCAGAGGGTCGCATTAGCACTTTCTCCTTCTCATTTAAGTTCACATGCTGGGCTCCGGACTCCACTTGGCACACCTGAAGCACAGACACTTACTCGTTGGATCTGCCAGAGTTATAGGTACATACCAGACATTACTTCTTGCCTCCTTTATGCAGAGAGGGAAACTTAATAACATATTGTTGGCCAAATCAAAAGGAGAAAGTCAAATGAAACAGATTCAAGTGACCTGGGGGGTCAATGTACTGTTCTCAGTTTAATTTTTGGGATCTGCTGTCTGACTTGTTTCTACTAATGATGTGTCTTGTCCTTTAGAAGTATTATAAAATGATTCTTAGTAGTTGAGACTAAGATAGAGCGCAGGAACTTATTTATAGGAGAAAGCACCTAGAAATTATGTTCTCTTTTTTGTCCCCAAATCACTGATACTGGCTCGTTCCTTTCTTTCTTTCCTGAAATAAAAGATATTGTACTCGAGTATTACTAAATATAATTTTCTTTGATTTTAATGTGACATAGCCAGTATCATGCATGATAAAATGTCTTGCATTTATTTGATAAATGTCCCAAGGAAAATTTGCCATATTTTGATCCATGGATGATTTGCTTTTAATATTTGTAGGTGCTACATGGGTGTGGAGCTGCTGAAATCCAGCAGTGAAGGGAGTGAATCCATCCTCAAGACACTGTGGCATCACTCAGATGCTATCATGTGCTGCTCTATGAAGGTGATGTGGAGTACTTAATGACTTCTCTCTTTTTCTGCCTTCACTGTTCATAGTTCTGAACGTTTCTAATTTTTCCGAGACTGAGATATGTTAGACCTCTAGTTTCTTGGTGATTCTACTAACCTTACCTCTATTCCTACCGAAGTATTGTAGAAAGTTCGTTTATCAGTTTAAGAATTTATGATGAGCCAATGAATAGTTATTATGTGCATCTTCAAATAATGTACTCATCTTACTAAACAGAGAATCATGGATCCTAGTCTCAAATTTGAAAACCTTATTTCTTTTCTGGAGTAGTCCATTTTAAATTTCTCATGCCTTTATATTAGTGTTTCATGTTTACTGCTATATTTCGTTTATGGATCAGATCTTTAGATTCTTCTACCACCTACATATTCGAAACGGTTTTACTATTATCTAAAGCTAGATAACTTTTTTTGCAGGCATTACCTGTTTTTACTTTTGCAAACCAGGCGGGGCTTGATATGCTGGAAACGACCTTGATTGCACTGCAAGACATAACCCTGGAGAAGATATTTGATGACCATGGACGAAAGAATCTCTGCACTGAATTCCCACAAATAATGCAACAGGTAGCATTTTCTCCTGGAATCTTAATAAAAGATGTCAAATTCTTCTTTTTCATTTTTGGAAGTTGAAAATTATGCTCAAGAATAATTCATGACCAGATATGAACCATCCTAAAATATTTGATGTTATATCACGGAATCATGCTGATTATCTGCATTTTCTCGTTATTGTCTGTCCCATGGCAGGGCTTTGCTTGTCTTCAAGGTGGTATCTGCTTATCAAGCATGGGAAGGCCAGTTTCATACGAGAGAGCAGTAGCTTGGAAGGTGCTGAATGAAGAAGAGAATGCTCACTGCATCTGTTTTATGTTCGTGAATTGGTCTTTTGTTTGAAACCCAAGGAGAGGGCAAAGTAGAATGAAACCCAAACTAAAAAAGCTATCAAGTTAATATTTTGTTGTCATGTTTATCGTTGTTGACTATGAAAACTGCATAACACTCTGGCTGTTTTAATTTTCCTTTCATCCTATGTACTCACAAGACTATGTTATGTGGCTTGAATCTCAGTACTCTGATGTGTTGGTAGATTTTTATTGCATTCAAGAAACCATAATGCAAGGCACATTCTACTTGCTGGTTTGCTCTTTGTAATTAATGAACATCCAGGTCATGGTTATGTATAATCATTCAGGTGAAAAAGATGATGAACTGCATTTAGAAAGAAGAGGAACAGAAGAAAATTAATACGTAACTGAATATTATTCATGCTTTTATTGGAATGATACATATGAAGTAGATGACATGCAAAAGAACCTAGGGAGTTAGAATGAAGTGAGAACCAAAAGGGTACAGTCTCTTCACAACATCTAACAAACTAGGCCTCTTTGACACGAAGATAGTTATTTGCTAAATTAACTAGCAACATATCGTGGAGGAAAATAACCAGAGTAAATATGTAAGCATTTTGTTTAGGGCCAACCATAAAAATTCCTAGAAGGTGAACATGGGGTTTGTTTTTCAGAGTAAAATACTCTAGAAGGGCAAAGAGGAAGAAGGAACTTCTACCCACCAAAAAAAAACCCCCTAGGGGGTGAAGGAAAGGTGGATATATAGTAAACATGTGAAATCAACCGAGGATATAAAAATAGACTCCTTCAGTTGATTTAGGGGTAAGAGGGAGTTGGGTGCCAATCCTAAAAACGCCCTTCAAGGTTAACTAAAAGGTTGGCCCAATATATATGAAAAAAGACACCTAAGCTTGAGGGTGAAATTGAATCCACCTCCCAAAGCAAAATCCTATTTTAGAGTTTTGAAAAATGCCTAGGAAGAGAGGAGATTAATTAAGCTAAGTAACTTAATGTGAGACGGTGAGATCATTCATCTGCCTTGTAATGGCTGGAATGCAGCTTGAACTCCTAGCAATCCCGCCTTTCTTTTGGCCTACTTGAAGATCCCTAGGGCTAAGGGATTTAGCCCTAAGCCCTTTCCCTTCCACCCTAGCCTTCTTCAAAATCTCTCTCATGGCTTCAGCTTGGAATAAAACCGGATAAGCCCTCCCAAGCTTGTTAAACCTAGCGCAAGTATTCATATGCCTGCTCAACGCCTCCTCTATATTTCCTCCATTCTTCTCCTTCTCCTCCTTCACGGCCTCCGCGCACAGCCCACATATCCACTTCCCCAAGAACTTGCTCCGAATCCTCTCTATGTACTCTGGCGTGCACTCCTCACTCATCCCACAGCAGTCGCATTTTGCATCTTCCACCTCTGATATTGGCGGGAGTTTATCGTCCACGTGAGTTGTTGCCTCTTTGAGATCAATGTTGCTCAGCTGAAATGTGATGTCAGAGATAGTCCGGTGCAGGCCATCGTTAGGTAACCTCGGTGGTTTGGAGAAGTTGTTGGTTCGTCCCATGCAAGGGGCACCAGTAACGTCTGCATGCGGTGCCATCACAATCAAACTCAAAACACAACGCCCTGCTTCAATTGTTTGATATGCAAAATCTTTTAGAAATCAAGTGAACTTAATTATTGTTAGAGAGGGTAACTAATCGGACTCAGTATTTATAGAGAGCATGTTTCTAAATTCTATGGATCCGGTGGACTTAGAAGTCAGTTATCAGTGACAACGGACACCAGATTTTTCAAGAGATGATTGAGAAAGACACATCCCAACTTGTTTTGATCTAAATTCAAAAGACGATCACTTTCATTTCATGAAAAAAATAAACACAAAGGTACTTTTTTCTTAGAAAGTAATTAATCAGTCCAAGTTGTGGGAGATTCACGGTTGGGTCAAAAGCAGCCATTGGAGTCTTAGCCGATGGTTCAACAGGAGAGGAAGCAGATGCGAAAGGGAAAGATAGATCAGTATAACCCCAACCAAAAAAGGAGATCATGGGAGTCACAGAGATGATAGGGAGAGGGGAGAGGTAGTTGGAGTCAGGTTCATAGCAAAAAGTGGTTTATTTATTAAATAAAGCTTCAATAAATTCACATTTATCTTGATTGAATGGGGAAAAATGAAGCTTGGGTTAGAGTACTTGGGACACACACATGTGAGTGGTGGTGAGATGATTGATGCAATATGTAAAGTAATAATATCTATTGAGTTTTAGTCCGGACTGGTATTTTGGATTTGCGGCCGGTGTTTATTTGATATAATATATTTTGGGGGAACAGATAGCCGGGTTTTCCGGTTAGAGGTAGATATGATATCAGAGTCATTGAAAATCTTCATTTTTTGGGGTCTACAATCATGAAACATGCATGGACCTTGAATTAGATGATAAATTTTGTAGAACATTGTCCGCCGATGTTTTTGATTTTGTGTTGTCTCTGATCCATAGGCCTTCCTTCGGAAATGAATATTTGACAAATCTTAAAAAGTATGTATTTTGTAAAAAAAAATTAAAATTAATTTTTAAAAATATTTTTAAGTAAGTTGAGAAAAATTTACACATTTAAATTTTTTTCAAATTTATTTAAGACCACCTTTATACGCTCACTTTTGTTTTTTCTTCCAACGAAATTTTAAATATGTAAGAAAAAAATTTACTTCTTGAACTTTAACAAACACCCCATTGTTGAATCACGAGATGAATTATATATATATGAACTTGAAAAACTATTGAATATATCATAAAATTGGAGATCACTTGTAATCTCTAATTGTAATTCAAAAGGGGTACTCCGGCACAATGGTACGTAATTAATTCATGCCTGGTAACCATCCAAAACCAAAAATATCAATGAAATCGGCCTTTTTTCCACTTATTTTGGTCCCTTTGTTCATGTACTAATTAAATGGGTGGTCTTGTTTCTTACACATCCTTGATCCGTATCCTTCTCATTTTCTAGACATGACCAGTTGGCATAGTTTAACTCATCATGCACCTTATAATATCGCATACAACCTCACCATTTACGCAGCTTCTTGCCCCCAAGTCTGTATACAAAACATAGGACTTGAGTCTCTTACAAATATAACCATAGAGTAGGTTGATAACACTGTAGCCGGTCATGTTCTCCATTGGAGTTGGTTTGGTTTGGTATGGTTTGGTTTCAAAACATAGAGAAGAGGAAAAGCTGCAATATTATCAATAACCAAGTAGATGAATCTTATCTCCTCTCCTAACCAAACATACCTTTCATTGTCATTCTAGAACCAGACATTATAAAATCTAATAATCGGAACTCTGATGCCAAAGAGCACTTATATATGTATATATATCCTCACTGTATTTGAAAGAGAGAATTGTTGCCCGTTTGAAGTTGGAATGACAAGGGCATCGTCACTTCTATTATTCTTATTTTCACGCAAGCTAATGCTGTATGTCTATATTTTCCTGTCCCATGAAAACCATCAAAGTTGGGAATGCAACTCAAAACAAATCATCACTTTAACATTTGATAAGTCTTAGTTAGCTCCAATTAGTCTTCCTTTGCAGGCAACCAAAAAAGGATATTGTGCAATTAAAACACATAACTTAACTACAGTAGCAGAGAATTTCATATACCCAGTCTCTAGCACTGAAATTTTACACTCTATGCTGCACCTTGAAGATATTCTCAACATCACCACTAAAGCACAACTGCAAAATCCTTGACCTAACCATAAGGGGGAGCCCTGCGAACAAAAGCAAATATCAAATAAGTAAGCTTCATGGGGGACACTGGGAAGAAATCCGACAAGAGTTTCAATTATATAATTGAAATCAAAAGGGAACACCAATAGCATCATTTAATGTCATTTTGTGCCCATTTCTGAATCATGTTATCAAATCCCAAATAAAGAAAATATCAAACGGTATATAAATATATACTGAAAAATAAC